ATATGGCCTGTTTTTATTAAATAGAGGGATGGACTGTGGAAATACAAACTTTAGAAGGTCAAGTGTTTCATTTTATTTGCTTGGTAGTCTAGGTCATAATAGCAGTTTACTCCAAAAAGAACGGGGCACAAGGTATTGTTCTCTTTAAAATAAGGGGTTCATGATAATTTGAGAAACTATGGTGAAAAGTTATCCTCGGAATCTTGACTTGGATGCTTGCCTGCAAATTTCAAATTAGCTACTTATATGGCTTTATTGTCTGTTTATCCTCCATTAGTAAGATTTTGTTAGATGGGGATGTAGGTGATTTCTCCAGCCAATTATCTTTCTGGTAGATTTCTTTTATTCATGCTTACCAGCCTAATCTATGTTTAACTATATTCTCCTGTAGCAGATGCTATCATCTTGTTGATATATTTATGTAAAGTCATTTATTTTACTTGATTGATTTAGGAGTACGGATACCTGAATAAGAACTTTATTATGACTTAACATTGATCTTGGCTTTCTTGCAATAGCATTGTGGATAAGTAACCTGCAGGCACAGAAACAACTTCAGCCTCTGAAAGACGTCGAAGGATTGTGCACATTGTGTGAAGAATATACTGCTAGTGCACTTGGTTACCTTTCTAATAACGAGACCCAAACAAAGATACTTGACCTACTACTCAACACCTGTTCGAAGATGCCAATATACAAGCTCAAGGTACTTATGATCTGACATAAATGTCCATCTATTGACCATTAATTTTTCCCAAATGATTAATTCACATTGCCAATAATGCTACTAAATTGTTAATAATTCCTAATCACACACACACACATATTTGGAATAAATGTCTCACTTTGCTGTCTATATTTGTTATTTAGTGTCGATGTATACTAGCAATTAGGTGATGCCTTGACGCTTTGGAACCTACAGGAAAGCCCCTTATAAGTGAGGCGAAGTTCTCACCCTGTGTTGTGCATAGCTTGATATTTTTAGGATTATGCAACAACATTGATAATGCTATTTTCTATCTTTTGCAACATTAATTTTCAAGTGACTTTCTCTTATGCTTGTAGTGCACTGCCCTGGTGGATCAGTATGTTCGTCCCTTCTTCTTAGTGATCTCCACTATAAAACCTGATGATATTTGCCAAAAGGTTGACCTTTGTCAGAAAGTGGTTTCCATCTCTCAACAGTTCTCTCAGAATGGCTGTGACTTGTGTCATCAAGTGGTTAAAGAGACACTTTTGAAATTGAGAAATCCTGACACTCAGGTACTCTTGTCTTTCATTATATATATACATTTTATATGCCGAACTATTGAGAGAAAGGAAAAAAGAACCATGTTTTCAGGGTTAGCGTCCACTTACATTTAGCTGAGAGTCTGCACTATTACAAAGGCCGGAAGGTGGTTGATTTGACTCTCTGAATGCTACATAAAAATGTCAATCCAAAATTGCAAATGTGTTACTGACAATGAAAGTCATTTGGACGAATGCATAAAAAATTATTTTTTAGCATTTCTTTGTAGCTGCAAGTTATTCATACAAGATAGTATGTATGTGTGTGTCTACTGCTACGGTGGTGCTGGGACTCTTTGGTCAAGCTTGCACACACCTTGACTATTCCATCGGGTACCTACCAATGTGTCAATTGTTCGGTTCGGCGGTTAATTTATAAAATTTGTATAGTACCAGTTTTTCGTTACTCTACTATTTATAACCAAAGTTAGACTTTTGGAAACTGTCCCAATCATCTCGGTTTATCTTCGGTATTAGTTTTGGTTTGTTAACTTTCAGTATTTTTCTTAAAATGTCATGTAAGGATCGATAGTAGAAGTTAGAATGTGATAACATACCTACTTACTTAGGACTTTGGCAAAACTTTTTAAACATTTTTACTGTTTAAAAAGAGATGAATCAAGGGAATATGAAAGATGGCTAGAAGAGAGATCCATCTCACTAAAAGAAAGTAAGCGAAGCCAAGAGAAATATAAATCACACAAGTAGGAATATATTAATCAAGTTGGGATTCAAAAATAGAGTCTATTAGAAGATTAAATATCCAATAAGAGAAATGTAAATCATACGAGAAGAAAGATATTCAATCTAGTAGTTTGCTACTTAAGATGCTGGAACTAGTTTAGTTTAATAGGTGTAGCAGAATATGTTTGGGAGCTAGGACTTTGTGTTATAATTACTTGCTGGCTTGTGATTGTTTCCAAAATTCCAAGGCCCAAGGAAAAAAATTAATGTTTTATTATTTTTAAACTTAATAATACAAAATATATTTTTCATGTACAAATTTATTCGGTACGGTTTGGTATTTTTTCGGTTTATTTTTATAAAAATAAAAAACCTACTCTAATTATAGGTGCGGTAATATATTCATCTAAAAACCTACGGTTTTATTAAAAGAAATCTAATAATCGGTTCGGTACAGTATGGTTCGGTCGGTTTAGTTGAAAGGTCCATTGACACCCCTACTACCTCTCACCACGAGTAACTCAGCTCACGAAAACTTAGGCAGATAGAAAGAATCCCCTAGCTCTTTTGTTCCCTCTACTATGATCTGAGTCTTTATTTCATGGTTTTCTTTCCCACTTTTTGATAGCTAGCCTACGCCCTTGGGTGTGATATCATGAAGATATATTGTTGAGCATTGTTGGTAATTAAAAAGACTATGTCTTTGGATTTACATTTACTGGTTCAAATCTGGCAGGTTGGATGTTTTATTTCATTTATCCTCATAAAAAGAATGTCATTAAATTTACCATAGATGTATATGGAGCTAGTAAGTGGCTGTCTTTTTTTCTTTTTTTTAGTGGTAAGTGACAGTATGTGTTTGTTGTGTGACAGAATACCACTTGTGATTATCTTCAGTAAACTCAGTTTCTTCTTGTATTCTTTCAGTTAGACATACTTGAGTTGCTCCTGAAGGCATGTGGATCTGTTGAAAAATATGCTAATAAGGTAAAAACCCTCTGAAGCTAATCTTCTATCATAACTATACCTTAATGCCTGCTTTTACTTCGCAAATTCCATCTCAGATAACTCCTTGAATTCTGATAGCTAACAACTATTGTACTTGTTTTGGACTTTTTGGTGTCCTTAAAAAGCTTTTGCAAGCCCCATGTGTCCACAACTATGTTGCTTGGACTCTCCGGAAATGTCACGGGGTGCATGTTGGATCCTCCAAAAGTACTGCATTTTTGGAGGCTCGGACACGGGTTTTCGGAGAGTCCATCGCAACATAGGTCCACAACCCTGAATTGTTAGAGGAAATGAAATGCTTGTCAATGAATGTTTCCTCATTAAGGGGCGAGTTTGCAAAGGATATCTGATGATCCATTATATTTTTCTTTGAGACATGTAATACGTGATCACAAGCCTTAATTGCTCTCAGAAAATTATTACTATATTGAGGAATAAGTGCAAGGGTCAGGTTATATTACTTGCAATATTTCCGTATCCAAGAGCCTTATGAAGTACTTGATGATTGTGAGTGGAAGGATAAAAGGTCGTCTGATAACTGTACTGATGTTTCTTTTCTTTTTTTGTCTTGCCGGTTTTTTCTTTGTGCCTCGTGATGTTCTGCAGTGCAAGAAAATGGTCTTTGAATATGCACCAGTGATCCTCGTGAATGCGGAACATTTTCTGGAGAAAAATGACGTATGCACCATCTTGCATGCCTGTGAGCCTGCTGTTAGTAAAGAGGAAGATTTACCAAAGATGCAAACTTCAATGCATTCTGCCTCTTAAGGAATACAGGTTATTGAGACTAGCTTGGGATGTGTTGTATTTAAACAATTGGATACCATCTTTCTGTTTGTGCCTTATTGTGTATAGTGTGTGAAATTGAAGTGCAAACTTCATCTCTTGTTTATATGCAATGACGTTTATCTAAGTCCTAAGAAGCTTAATTTAATAAAAGTTAGTCGTTCTTGATTGCTATGAGCACTTAGATTGGATAGTATTTTGGTGTCTTATTTTCTTGGGTTAGACGGGCGCCTGACTTGCTCTAAAACCCAATTGCTACCGCCTGCGCGTTATTTACACTAGGTGACCACTTTTGTGTTTGGTCACTCTTTCGGAATTAGACCGTGGTCTGAATATGGTTTGAATTTTAAGCTTCAGATCAGGTTATCGCTTTTGAACTTCAGACCATTGGTCTAATTTTGGAAAAGTTGCCAATTTCTAAATACGGGGTCATAAAAGTTGCTGTGTAAATCAACCGTAGTCCGTCAAAAAAAAAAAAAAAATTCGTATAGCCACGTAATGAGTACTTGTAAGGGTACATCCTCAATTCTTAGGCAATGATGAATTCAACGCTTAGATGCACACATGTATTAGATACCCGTCCCATGTCCACGTAGGGGTGGCAAAATGGATTAAAAAAACTATTATTATCTATTCACGTTATCCACTAAAAAATGGATTGGATAATGAACTTCGTATATACGGGTCAAATGTGGATAAGAACCATATTATCCACTTAAAAAATGGATAACAAATGAATAAATTAATGGGTTTAACTTTTACATTTGTAAAGATTCAAATTGAGGGCTCCTCAAGTTTGGGAGACTAGGAATTCTCCCAAAAATGATCATATTCAAGAAGTCATAGATAATGTGAATATATCTATATTATCTGCCAGTTAACCCATTTTCTATCCATATTACATCACCCGTTTTCGACCTGCTCATATCTGGCACAACCCACCCGTTTGGCACCCCTGTGTCCATTTAACATATATTTGGCAACTTTTCCAAATATCCTCACAAATGTCCTCTAGCGATATGACGTTTTTTTGCATCAAATCTAGTCATTTTCTCCATTCAAACTGTAGTTGATCATATCATAGAACATCATTTCCTCAAACTTTTAAGATATAATACAAGGACCAAGTAGGAGCATAGATGAAATTTCCTTATCAACTCTACTTTTCCCTCTCATATAAAACCTTACAATTAGATAACGACCTTCGCTTACCATTAGGAAAGCTAAAATAGGAAGAAAAAAACAAATCCTTCTATATGTCGTTTCCCACTATCCAGAAAAGGATATCCCTAATTAAGTCCATGATCACAATGATCATTTTACTATGAAAAAAGAGATTATCAGGAAATAGAAGTATCGGGTAAAAAGAAAAGATACATAACCCCGTACTTTTACCCCTCTGTTTCTTATGCTTTCAAAGAGTACAAAATATAGTACTAAAATACATTCTTCTACTAACTCTTCACATAATAGTTATACAACAGGTTTTGCCAAAGTTGACAGTAGTATAGAATCCCTATTTGCAGAAAATGTAAGTTCTTTTCTTCATATCCCTCTAAGAATTTACCAGATCATGTGTATCTAAGCTAAGCTAGGACATCACTTAGGTATGGCCTTTCAATATAATACACCTTAGGGGAAGATAGAACGATGCAACACTCGTCCAGATGAATGTGAGACAGCAGACGACAAGGAAGGTTTGCTTCCCAAGGAAGAGAATACAATAAAAAGAGATCAGCAACTTTGACTTACCCCAAGCAATGCGCTCCGAGGGGCATTGTTCTCGGTGCAATCCAACACTTGCCCTGCTTTGCCTGCCCGCTCTGCTCCCTCTTTGAATCAATTGATCCGCTGCTTCAAATACAGTATCAAAAAGTACCCCCTATTGAGCCTCAATTTGCATGGACTTAGTAGCTAGAAAATGGCAATTGCCACATAAAATCCGCTCTGTTGTTCTTATGGATTTTCACAACACTGCTATATAAAAATGGAATATGCACTTGAAATGAATATTCGAGTTGTGTTAAGATATATACCATGAGCAATATGAATATGGATCGAGTAATCTGTTTCTTTAACCAGAAAAAATCATTTATACTGAAATCAGTTGACTAGTAAAAAGCCAATCCAACTTTTCAGCTACTGGAAATCTGTCCGTCATGTTTATAGAAAAATCCACTTAATTGCGGCTTAAATTTCTGTTTCCATATACCTCGCTCTGGTCCAGCTCCTATCTCCCTCTCTTTAACTTCTACAATTACCAGTTTCTCCGTTAATCTGTTAATCTCCGCTACTAGTACAAAATTTCCATTTTGCCCCTCGACTCTCACGGCGGCGCCATTATTACCGGTGACTCTCATCCCTTCCGATTTAGCTACCTCCTCAATCCTCCGCGTAATTCTCTCTGGTGGCTCCATTGAAACAAACCTTTCAACGTCCACTTTGTCTCTGCCTCCTAAACAGTTCAATAATCCAGTCAAATTAACACCTGACGATAACGAGATTATATGAAATGCATTCAGAAACTTGCCGTCTTGATTTGTATCGAAGTTTTTGAACTGAAATTCATCATCGAGCTGCGATTTCACCTCTTTGAAACCTTTTCGAAACCACGGATCGTTTCTGATCTGTTCAATGGAGATTCGAGTTTGAGGATTCGTGTCCAGTAGTCGAGTCAGTAACAGCTTTAACCCGTGTGAGGTCCACTTAGGGCAGCGAAATTCGCCTTTGTAGATTTTCCGATACATAGCCATTAGATTTGAATCACTGAAAGGTAAATAACCAGCGTTGAGCACAAAAAGGATGATGCCACATGACCATATATCCACCTTAGCTCCATCGTATCCTTTCTTCTCGAGAATTTCAGGTGCCACGTAAGCTGGAGTGCCGCAGAGCGTGTGGAGGAATCCGTCGGGTCGGATCTGATCCGATACTGCGCTTAGCCCGAAATCTGTGACCTTGAGATCCCAATTCTCATCAAGCAACAGGTTCTCCAGCTTCAGATCACGGTGATAGACGCCGCGAGAGTGACAGTAATCAATGGCGGAGATTAATTGCTGAAAATATCGACGGCTGAGATCCTCGCTAAATCGGCCTTTGCTGACCTTAGCAAACAGCTCTCCACCTTTAGCGAATTCCATGACGAAGTAGATCTTCGTCTTCGTAGCAAGTACCTCGTGGAGGTGTACGATATGAGGGTGGCGCAACCTGCGCATGATAGAGATCTCCCGCTTAACATGCGCCGTGAAACCACCTTTCAAAATTTTCTGCTTGCTTACGGTCTTAATCGCCACACTCTGCCTCGTCCTAATGTCCCTGGCATGATAAACTTTCGCAAAAGCGCCGCAACCAAGGAGTTTCCCTACCTCATATTTTCCAAAGAGGTTAAGCTTGAAATCACCGGCGGTTGCAGCGGCGGCGGAGGCGGATGACGATGAACTACTTTCCTCATGTAAGATCTCTGGCATTACTAGATCCAGAGACCACAAAGGTACTACCAAATCTCTCGAAAATTTCTTCTTCCTTTTGCATCAAAGCAACACTATAGTAGATTAACTAATTCTAGAAAATTCTTTTAGCATCTAAGCAGAAGAGAGAAAATTCGAATGGGTCAACGCGCAAATCGTAGATATTTTGTGAAAAGATTGGGAAAAAATTAGAGGTGGGGAGATAGTAGGTGAATACGGGAATTGATCGACGTGTTCAAATTAACCACGTTACTCTTTTAGTTGAAACACATGGAATATTTACAAGAGTATGGTCCCGCCAACTGCTAATCTAACAAAGCAAATTAATAGCTAATCACATGAATCATGAGGGCAACTAGAAATGATGAAACTCTATAAAGTTTTAAGTTCGAGCTCTGGGAAAAAAATTCTAATGACGGATAATCTTTTGACAAGAAATGCCAAAAAATTAATACATTAGGGAAAGAGAAGGTGGCAATGTGAGAGGAACGCTACATTAACGATGGAGTTTGAACTCTCCGTCTCAATTTGGAAGACAGAAAGCTTACTCGCCTTCAACTCCTTCTTATTAAATTATCCCATACGAATTTGAATTAATGAGTTACGAGTTTTGGATACCAATGATTTAACCAAATTAGAAAGGTTTAAAAAGAGTTCTCTCCCTAGTATAATCAAGTTACAAGGATTCGAAGACGGAGTTAAAATTTGAATTTTACGAGTTTGAACTTTTAATTTTTAAGAGTTATTGAGTTTTAAATTAATTATTTGTACTATTCAATAGATCTTTTAAAATAAATAAGTTTACGTTAACCAATCATGTAGAAATGCAGTTGGTTTCAGTTTACAGCCTACACTCCAACACAGACTATAAATGAGCGTAAGTTGAATAATCTTTTCTTTTCCTTTTTTAGATAAGACTTGTCAATAGCAGAATAATCTATCCGTATTCCGTACCCGTTGATCCAAACCCAAGCCCCGGGGATAGGGCATAAAAAAGGGAAACTACAACATCAAACTAGATGCTACAATATTAAAATAGAAAGCCATTTAATTATGTTTTAATAGAGAAATTTCAATAAGTTCAAGTACCGCTAGGTGGTTCTCAATCATACACATTGTTCTATGATTGTATTTTTTCTCACTATTTTTCAATTCTATTTTCTATTACTTATAAGTAGTTCCAAATTTGGCTAATATGCTAATGGGTCTCATTCTATCAAAGACAGTAATTGACTGGACATTTGACTCTTACCACTGTATGGGTCAAAATCTGATCAAGGGAATCTTGTCTAAGAGAGAATAACTAAAAGCTGATTAGGCCGAGGTCGTGCTTAAGAAGAAACCTATTGGCGAGCTGAGTAACTAGGGTCGAGGTCGAGTACTCGGATCAACCCAAACGGCTAGTTTAATAAAAAGATATTTTAGAGGAATATTCTTTGGCATTTGTACTTTGTTAGGTCAGGAATATGTCCCATATAAGTATGAATAGATAGAGAAAAAAGGGGTAGGTAATATTCTATATGATAAGTTTTCTCATGAAAAGTTGACTGTCAAGTAAATTACAAACATCGTCTTTACAAAAGATTCGATTTGTTGTTGATCCCACACTTTCTTGCATCAGACCCGAGAAAGCTATATTCCCACGTTTGTTTGTCTTACATCATTGTCAGAGGGAGACCATCTCATTGAATATCTGGTGAATCATCCTCTCTATTTACATTTATTGCCATTTAATATATTTATTGCTTGTCATTTCTCTCCCATACATTCATAACAATACCATGTAACACCCCTCTGTATTAAATTGGTTTAAGTGTAGTTATACATTGTTCATATCAACCAAATTCAGATCTAGGATTTATTAGGTTTAACTAGGATTTACTCATTATCATCTTATTCAATTAGTTTAACAAAAAAACCTTAACACTTTTTAGTTAAACAATTTGGCTCCGTCTGTGGGAATTTTCTAGTTAAAATTTTAGTTTTTTCTAGATCTAAATAAACAAAACATAAAACTTTGCAAAAACCCCGTATTTACTTGTTTGTACAAATTTGACATGGCAGGCAACGGAGAAGAAAAGAGAAAGGCAATAGCCAACCTCACCACCAACCTACTCCACACCATTAACGTAGTGGATGAAACGGAGGGCGATGACATAACACCAAACATCTCTACGAGGCGAAGCAGCTCGCCTCTACCTCTCGGTAGCATCACGACCTCGCACGATAAGGGGGCTTCTACATCCACTACAGAAGAGGCACCACCAGCAGTGAAAAAGCTACTTGAGGCATGGTTGACAAACACTCTAACCGACTTCCTCGATAAGCCCTCTCAGAGGTCGCGTAGAGAATAGGCAAGGGTCAGCGTTACATCGACAGCTGACGAGCAGTACCCCCCCCCCCTCGCAACATGTACTACTCAAAATGCTAGTAATGCAGGGTAAGGACACCCTCACGGCCATTTTAAGGGAAATGGAGGAGATGGAGAATGAGAACAAAAATGCTCCGCAACCAAATGAAAGAACATCAGGAGAGGGTAGACAAAATACCGGGTACCCAAAAACTTTTGCCAAAAATGGACGCCAGTCGATTTGTTGAGCAGCCATATAGCGACGAGGCTGCACCGCACGCCATACTATAGACCTTTAATATGCCGCCGTACTTAAAAATATACGACGTCACGACGAATCCGGAAGATCACGTAACCCACTATGTCACCGCAGTAAAAGGCCACGGCCTCGTCAAAGAACAAGTATCATCCATATTGATGAAGAAGTTTGGAGAAACCCTAACTGCGGAAGCGCTGAGTTAGTACTCACAGTTACGTGCGCGTTCCATAGAAACGTTCGAGGAAATAGCAGACAAGTTCGTCACCGCCCATGCCGGGGCTAAGAAAGCTGAGGCGAGGGTGAACGACATATTCGCCATTAAGCAATCACCGGGCGAAGGACTTAGGGACTTCCTTTCCCGGTTCAACCGTGTAAGAATGAGCCTTCCAAATGTATCTGAGGGGATGGTGGTAGCTATTTTCCAAAATGGGCTAAGCAGGAGTGGGTCGAGGGAGACCAAAAAGTTGCTAAGCCGACTCATGAAGTACCCTCCAACCACTTGGGACGAGATACACAACACCTACTGTGTCGAGGTAAGAACCGACGAGGACGGTCTCAATGGACCTACCCAACGTTTGACCTCAGTTCAAATAGAGCCCAGGAAAGACCAGAGATACGATAACAAGAGAGATCTAGCAGGACCCCGTCCTAACCGGGAAAGACATCAGCCTTCCAGCCAAGGCACCCTCATGTCGCCTCCCCGACATGACGAAGGCCCTTCTAGGCCAAGAATAGGGACTCACCAAAATGAGAGAGGTATGCCCCCTTATTATCTGCTAATAATTTTTATGTTTCCCCTCAGAAATGGTTTACGTGCTGGAGAAGCTCAGCCCAAAAGTAAAGTGGCCACAAAAAATAAGGTCTGACCGAGCACTAGAAAGTCAAACTCCCTCTGTGAGTTCCACCAGGAGCGAGGCCACAAAATCAAGGAGTGTATCGCCTTTAGACAAGAGGTCGTGAATATGCTACACCAACGACACTTGAAAGAACTGATGAGCGACCGAGGGAGGGCCAACTTCGCCCGTGGACGTGAACAACACCAGGGACCGCCCAAACTACCCTCCCCAGTTCGAACCATTCAAATGATTATTGGAGGGAGCGGCGACGCGTCAATCAACAGCGTAAAGTTCACCACCACCCACAAACTCAAACGGTCAATCACCCATGAACAATATGACAAACTCGAAGAAAGTATCATCTTCGATAAGTCAGATACCCCCGGTTTGGATTTTCCTCACTATGACGCTCTTGTCATTACTTTGCGCATTTTTTATATCGATGTAAAACGTATTATGATCGATGACGGGAGCGGCACGTGCATCATCCACTCTCGAGTTCTCACTCAAATGAAACTCGAAGATATGATAGTGCCATGCTGCATCACGCTAACAGGTTTTAATAATGCAGTTGAGCGAACTTCCGGAGAAATCACACTGGTCGTCCTGGCCGGTGGCGTCACTTTGAAGACCACGTTCCACATCATGGACCAGGATACGACGTACAATGCCATCATAGGTCGACCTTGGATACACTCCATGAAAGCCGTCCCCTCTAGCTTATATCAAGTCATCAAATTTCCCACCCCCTTGGGAGTATTCAGCATCCGAGGAGAGCAACGCACTGCCCGGGAATGCTACCGCATCGCCCAAGACTGCACATACACCCAATAATTAAAAGGAAAGGCTGAGGAGGCATAACAATTATCGAAGTTGCGGTCAGATGCTGATGAGGGGAAAGACGTCATCAAAGACCCCGAAATAGCAGAAGCCATAGGGTCAACCGTGGAGGACCTCAACCCCGTCCAACTAGATGATAACGACCACAACAAGAAAGCTTTTATCGGCCATAAGCTCCAAGAGCTAGGTAAATTTCGCCAATTCTTAAAAATAACATAGACCTGTCTGCTTTTTCCTATGCAGATATGCCAGGTATCCCGAAGGAGATACCAACTCATAAGTTAAACGTCGATCCATTTTACCCCAGTAAGGCAAATTAGACGAAAGTTCAACTCCAGAATAAATGATGCGGTCCGCGAAGAGGTTAAACAATGTTAGAAAACGATTCCATCAGAGAATCTAAGTACCCTCAGTGGGTCGCCTACGTGGTCATGGTGAAAAACAATCTTCCCCTTCTCTTCTCGGCGGGCGCTCTCGATCTCCAAAATAAGAGTCTAAAAAAAAGAGAAGGAAAAGATAAAAGAAAGGAAGAGCCGAAAAGAGTTAGTAAAGACAGAAAGGGGAAAAGGGCGCAAATCACAAAAATAACGAGGAAGAAAACTCACCCTCAGAGCCATAACAGATATGCCTAGCGATAAATCGGAATCTTTAAGTGCTTGAAGAGTCCTGTTCTCGGCGGCGGAGCAAAGAGGGGCCAAAGAAGGGACCACGCTCGCCGTGTCATCCAACAAATGGCAGTCCAAAGGGATGACAATCGAACGAGAAGATCCATCAGTTCTCACCTCAACCCGGGTAAACATCCGTTGAATATCCTCTCATCCTCAGGATCGACATCGGAGCCAGATTCGTAATCGTTTACGACCACTCCTTTAGCCCTCTCCTCAGCCGAGGAAGGGACATCGACCCGCTCTAACATCGACGGATCACTCCTCGGAATGACTACAGTTGCCTCTGGTCTCTCCCCTCCTTGCACGGAGACAATCTCCA